GCAGCGGCGGCGCGGTCACCCCCTGCTTCATGGCCATGGGGCTGCCCTACGCTCCCCATGGGATATATGGGCTGCCGGCCCTCGAGTACCCCGGCCTGGTCAAGGTGAGTGTGGCACAGTGGTGGTGGCGCTGAGGTGTCCCTTCTGTTTGCTCCCACTGAGCGCTGTCTGTCCTCAGGTGTGCTACCACCACGGCAGCCCCACTGACCCCGAGGAGCGGGACCGGACCCCCCCAGGCTCCCCCCATCCCCACATCGCCCTCCTGAGCAACTTCATCAGTAGTTACCTGCCTGGGCTGGAGCCGCAGCCGGCTGTGCTGGAGAGCTGCCTCTATACGGTGAGACCCAGATCCCCATTGCACCCACAGTGGGTCCTGGCTGTGCCCCAAACCCCCCTCCCTCACCCCACTGCTCCCCCAGAATACTCCAGATGGAGACTTCATCCTGGACCAGCACCCCAAGTACAGCAATATCATCATCGGGGCCGGCTTCTCGGGTAGGTCCTGGCCCCCCTGGGGTACCTTGGGCATGGCTGTACCCCCAGCCCTCTCTTCCCTGCAGGCCATGGATTCAAACTGGCCCCAGTGGTGGGGCAGCTGCTGTGCCAGCTGAGCCTGGGTGAGGAACCATCCCACTGCATGGCTCCATTCGCCATCAGCCGCTTCCCAGGTGTGCTCCGTGCTGCTCTGTAGGTGCAGTGTCACAGCTGTGCCCACACAGCATCACACTGCCCTGTAGTGATCCCTGCATCCCAAAGTACCACCGCCCCCAGTTCCTTGCATCCTGATGTCCTCAAAGCCTGCCAGCCTGGTGCCCTGCATCCCTCCATCACCTAGCACCTCAGCGTCCCTGCAACTGTACCCCTACATCCCAATATCCCCAGTATCCTCGTTCCCTGTGGTTCTGCATCCTGGCATCCTTACACCCTGTTCCCCTACATCCCACCATCCCAGTGCTCTGCTCCAACCCATCCTCACATCCCAACACTCCCGCATCCCTTTATCCTGCTTCCCTGCCCTCCTGCTTCCTCACATCTGTATCCTCCCATCCCAGCACCATCCCTACATCCCGATCCCCTGCATGCTCACATCCTGCCACCCCCACACATGGCTCCCCTGCTTTCCCACCGCTCCACACTGTGCGCCAGCCCAGCTCTGCCAAGCAGCCGCTCCCTGGAAGCACACGAAGGCGCTTTGCCAGCGCCATGGAGCCGGAGCAGCGCGGGGAGGCACACTCGCTTAGGAGTCAAGTTAAATGTTTTAATGTTAAATGTGCCATTTTATTATCATTAGATTGCTCCCACTTAATGAAAGCGCATTAGCGCAGCGTAGCTTTAATGGCGGCGAGCGCCGAGCTTGGCCCATTTGTTTAGAGATGTCAGGGAGAGGGGTGGGAACTGCCTGTTTTGTGGGGGCTGGGGGCTGCGAGGAGCCCCCATGGAGCCAGCAGCTGGCAGCAAGCAGAGCCCCCCTATGGGAACAGTGATGGCACCGGGCTCATCCCTCTGTGCACCCCATATCCTTGCTGGAGCCCTGCACACCACAAAAAACCCACCCTCCAAAACCAATCCCCCCCCACCCCAAAATGAGGCACGCAGAGCAGGCGTCACCAGCCAGAAATGACGTTTCTTTATTTTCGGATGGAAAGGAAATGGGGTAGGAAGGGCTGCACAGCTGTAGTGCAAAACAACCGGTGGGGTTGGGGGGCAATAGGGGAGGCGACAGCCCATGGGGGACCCCGTCCCCACGTCCCCTTTGCGGCTGTGGGGCGGCTGGCCCCGAGGCCCGGCCAGAGACGTCTTTGGCTCAACTAAATGGGGATGAAGAACATGGAGGGGGGTGTCCGGGGGGGTATTTTAACTTATAAAATAAGGAGACAGCAGGCACTGAGGAGGAACCGATGGAGCCGCCGAGGACAGATGGGGTGGGAGGGGTGGGCTGCCCCCCCTGCACGAGGGATGGGGACGGCAGTGTGTTCCTCCCCTTTTCTTCACCGTGCAAAAAAGAAACCAGTGGCTGCCCGGGGGGGTGGGGGTCCCGAGGAGCCCAGCATGTTGGGGCCATGGGAAGGGTGGCGGGGGCTACGCGGGGGTCTCGGCAGTGCGGCTCTCCGTCTCGCCATCGCTGGTGGGGCTGTGGGATGAGCGCTCCGTGCTTTCTGTGGCATCCAGCTCCTCGTCCCATCGGTCATAGGAGAAGGGTTTCCGGCAGCTCGGGGGGCTGTGGGGAGAAAAAGGGGTTAGGTGCTGAACTGCTGTCCTGACGCATCGAGGCTGCGTTGTCTCCTTGGGTTGTTTGTGAGAAATGGGGCCGCGGCCCTCCTGCTGGGTACAGAGCAGCACTGAGTGGTGGCAGTGCCAAAAAACATTGGGTCTGGGCTCAAATGGGTGACTGGCCATGGCTGCAAGTCCTGGATGGAGATGCGTCCCAGACCTGAGCCAGTGACCCGCAATGTGACAGCCCGGCCAAGGGCTGCGATGGTGATCCAACAGCATTCCCAAGGGATTTTTCCTCCTCCTCCAGCCCTTCTCCTACAGAAGCCATAGGAAGCAACCGAACCCACTCACCACTTACTGCCAGGATGCCAGAGAGCTGACTGCAGCCCCGTTCCCATACAGATGGGGTGCAGGACTGGAGTAACCACTCCAATAACCATCTGACCCCATCTACTCACCCATGTCATCCCACATCTGCACCCCACACTGGGTGCTGTTAGTACCACTGCTCCTCCCGGAGCCGCAGCCCCATCTGCCCACCCCAAACTTCTATCAGAGATCCATGCAGCCACTCCAGGATGGGATTAGCACTTCTCGGAGTCCAACCCCACGGCACAAGGACGGAGCAGCATTCCCACCACCGTGTGGCCTCAGCAGGGATGCTCGGAACGGTGCCTGGGCACGGTTAGGGGTTAGTGGCACACTCGGGTCATGCTGCAGGCACACACCGCTCCCACCTCCTGCCTCAGTCGCTCTCAGGCCGGTACAGGTACTTCATCATCAGGCTGTCCACCTGCTTCTTGCGCCTCTTCTCCTCCTTCCTGGCCCGGTCGGGGCGCACTGGCTCCTCTCCCCCGGCCGCCCGCGGGCCCTTCTTCACACTGGAGGTGCTCCGGTAGGAGACGGTGGAACCGGAGGAGGAATCGGAGGAGGAATCTGAGCCCGACTCGGAGGATGACTTTTTCTTCTTCTTTTTGGATTTCTTTTTGGATTTCTTGGATTTCTTCTTGGCGCTCTTCTTCTTGCGCTCCTCCTCTTCCTCCGAGGAGGAGGACGATTCCGAGGAAGAGCTGCTGCGGCGGCGGCCGGAGCGCCGGGATGGACGCGACACCTCGAGGGCGGACGCGGAGCGGCGGAGGCTGCCGGGGCGGTCGGCGGCACCCAGCGGCGCCGCGCTGCGCACACTGCGCACACTGCGAACGCTGCGCCCGTCGTCCCCGGAGTCGGGGCTGGAGAGACCCCCGGCCCGCGGAGAGCGGTAGCTCAGCACCTCCTGGATGGCAGCCTCCAGATCGGGGTCGAGGTAGGAGCGGTGCCCCACCGGGCGGGCGTCCCCGGGGGGACCGTCCTCGGAGGCGGCGCTGCGGGGTCGCGGGGGCACGGAGAAGCTGCGGCCCAGCGGGGGCTGCCCGCGGGATGCTTCATCCGCCTCATCCAGGAGGCTGCGGGCGAGCGAAAGCCGCGAATCGGGGCGACCGTCGGCACCGCTGCGCCGGCTCCGCAGGCTGCCGGGGCTGGAGAGGGCGAAGCTCAGCACCGAGCACGCCTCGTCCCCTTCGTCTCCATCCTCCGGCGCGCGCCACGAGGCCGACGAGGCTCTGCTCACCGGCGCGGAGGCGACGGAACCCTTCTCCCCATCGCCAGCCGACAGCGACCAGCGCTTGCCCAGCCCCTGCCGAGCGCGGCCGCTGGCGTCGGCGAAGGCGCGGGCGATGACGGCCGCCCGGTCCTCGTGCTCTGCGCCCCGCGCCCGGCGGGCAGCGCGCTCCGGGGAGGCCGCCCGTTCGCTCAGAGCGCTGAACAGCGTCTGCTCGTCCCCGCGGCCGCCTATGGAGTCCTTCAGGCTCGGCCGCTTCCTATAGCTCAGGCTGCTCAACACCGACACCGGGCGCTCTTCGCCCTCGGGGACATCCGTGGGAGCCGACCTGGGTGCGGGCACGGCGCGCACCGGGAGGGGGGGGGGAGAGAAAGGAGTGAGTGCGGGGAACGCGCCGGCACACGGCGGAATTATCGGCGTCAGCGAAAAGCTGCTCCATGCAAATGAGGGCATTGTTCCACCCCGTCACTTTGATTCGCCTTTAAAGTGCTCCGTTCAATTTATCTCACTGTCAGCTACCTGCAGCCGCCGCCTTTGATTCCCGACTTCAGAAAACTGGAATTATCTCCAATAACAAAATGTTTTACATCTGCGCCGCTGAATAAATTAAACCAATTAAGAGAAAACAGCTCAGATCTTTCCCCCTGCTCGGTAGAAGGCGGGAGAGCCCCCCGGGATGCCTGAATCCCTGCCAGAAAATCGGGTTTGGATGAAAGCAATCTGTGCTCATCAGGAGAGAGCTCTCCCTGATGGCTGTGGGACATGAGTGGGGCCGTGTGGTCCTCAGGAGGGCTACAGCACTGGGATGGTGAAGTGGGGATGGAGGTGTGATGGAGGGATGTGGGATGATGGAGGGATGTGGGATGATGGAGGGATGCGGGATGATGGAGGGATGCGGGATGATGGAGGGATGTGGTAGAGCTGCCAGAGAGAAAGGATGGAGTCCATCACTGCTACCCATTTGAGGAGGCTGCACACAGAGCTGGGATGCCGGGGGCTCAGGGATATCCCTAAGTGTGTGTGGAGCAGTGGACGTGCCAGCACTCGGGCACGTGTCCCCAGTGGAGACTGAGCTGCTCCCCAGATTCACCCTTTCCTGACACCATGCGCAGTGCCCAGCCGCAGCCACGCCGCCAGCACCCAGCCCTGCACCCACCTGCTGCTGCCCTTCAGGCTGCCATCATCTGAGAGCGCTTTGGAGGAGCCTTTGTTCTTAGACAGCCACGACTTCACTCCATCCACGCGGTCCTCCAGCTCTGAGTCCACGTCCGAGTCACCGTCGCTGGTGGGAGAAAGGCAGCAATGAGTACCTGGGATGTGGTGAAGGGACGTGTGACATCGTGCCACCCATCCCCGTCCCTCTGCCCCACTCCATCTCAGAACACCGCATGCTCTGCGACCTCACAGCCCCAAAACCACCCCCAGAAGGATGCGGGGCCACCGGGCTCAGCACAGCCCTGGCTGTGCACGGCCCTATAGCCAGGAAATCAACCACGAGGTGGAGAACCACGCGGGGCACGGCTCCAGAAACACGGGGGATGCCGAGCTCACAGAGAGGAAATAAGTGGGTTCGTTTTATAGGCTGCCACCGAGTGCAGAATTACCGCGAGGCAGAGCTACGTGGATGTCCCTGGGTAAACAGGAGTTTAGCAGGCAGAACAGAAACGACTCCGGCACAGCGGGCGCACGGACAAATTTACGGCCCCACCGTGACAGAGAGCCCCTGATTTATGGGCGGACATAAAAAAAGCCCTATCTGCCTTAAAACATCTAATTTATAACGGCCGCTGGTAACCGTATTGATCGCCTTTAGCGCGAAGGTGCCGTCTGCATTGCAAAATCCATTCCTGCACGTTGAGAGCATCCCGGTGTAAATCTCTGCTCACGCCGGCCGCGCGCTGCTCTCATTAGCGAGATCGCGGCGCCTATCAGAAATCGAAGCACCGCGTCCCCCCCTGACCCCGCCGGGCTCCCACATCCTAAACGGCGGCTGGGGATGGGCTGGGCAGTGCCATCCTAAAGGGCCGCTCCATCTGCACGGCCACAGGCTCAGCCCGAGCGGGACGGGCTGTTACGGCTCCTATATAGGAATCCTCCTTGTTGCATTCAAAGCAACGAGCTGCGCTCCATCACGCACGTCTCCCTCCCCTGCAATATATCCGGGCTTTAAAAATAAATGCAATAAAATACCTTCCCCTCCTCTCCCCCCCCCCCCCCCCCAAAAATAAAGCCCCATAAAACAAACTCTGGGGTGCTGTTAGCTCATGCGAAACTGGGCCAGCAGCATGCAGGGGCCCCGGCCCCAGGGGGGTGAGCAGGGTTAGGGGATGGGGGAGAAGGAAAGAGGAGGTCCTCACAGTTTACTCTTTCTTTTCTGATACTTTGCCACCATGTCCTGCAAACTGGGAGGGGGTGGGTGGGGGAGAAACATAACAGAATGAAATCAAATGAAATTAAAATTGAAAAAAAGAAGGAAACCAAGTCGGGCAGGGCGATGAATGGAGAACAAATCAAAAGGGATGAGATCTGATGAGATGGGGAGGGGAAAGGTTTGGCTGCTCTGAGCCCATCTGCAGGGCTGGGCTGGTTTCCAGCGCCCCGAGACCCCACACTGCCCCTGATCCTGGGGTCCCTCAGATGTCCTCAGGATTTGTGGCTGGGGATGTGGCAGCAGGTGAAGCTGCACCAGGCTGCAGGTGAAGGGAGGGGTGGGCAGGTGGGTGGGTGCACAATGCACAGATGGGTGGATGCATGGGTGCAAGGATTGATGGATGGGTGGGAGGGTGAAAGGATGGATGGATGCATGAATGGATGGATGGGTGCAAGGATGGATGGATGGGTGCAAGGATGGATGGATGGGTGCAAGGATGGATGGATTGGTGCAAGGATGGATGCATGAATGGATGGATGGATGGATGGATGGATGGATGGATGGATGGATGGATGGATGGATGGATGGATCAATGGGTGCATGAATGGATGGATGCATGCATGGATGGGTGGAAGGATGGGCAGGTGAAAGGATGGATGGATGCATGGGTGCAATGATGAATACATGGATGGATGGATGGATGGATGGATGGATGGATGGATGGATGCAATGGGTGCACGGGTGGATGGACAGATGGATGGACAGCATCCTGCCAGGACTGGGCAGAACCAAGGCCCCCCTTGGTGTTTCAGAAGTGGCGAGGAGAAGCAGTGAGCCCAGGTGACGTGCCCCATGCAGGAGCCAGCTCCGGGCACACTCACCTGTTGATGAGGTCCTCATTGCTGTCGCTCTCCATCTCATCCTCGATGGCAGCCTGCAGGTCCCCGATGCGCTTGAAGGCCAGCTTCAGGTCTGACTGCAGGCTCTGGTTGGCAGCTTCCAGGCTCTCCAGGTCCATCTCCTGCGGGGAGAGTGGGGTGAGCCTGGGCTGTGGAGAAGGGGAATCCCAATTCGTGGGGGCTCAGCAGTGATGCCCTCACCAGCTCGTGCTTCTTGCGGCTGGCCTCTGCCTCCTTCTTGGCCAGCTCTCCCATCTCCTCCTTGACATCACGGAGCTGCCGCTGCAGCCTCTTGTTCTGCTCCTTCTCCCTGTTCTCAGCAGCTGCTCGCTGGTCCCGCTCCTCCGTCAGCTTCTCCATGTTCTCCTTCAGCCGCGTGGCCAGGCTCTGCGGAGCAGCGAGCGTTCTCCCTGTGCTCCATCCACCCATACACACATGCATCCATTCACACGTGCATCCATGCATTCACCCCCCACCTGGCAGTAACAGCCACCCCCTGTGGTCCTCACACCAGGAAAGATCCCAGCCCCATGAATTTACATGAGGGGATAGGAAAGAGGTGGGGGGGGGTGATGAGAAACCACCCCCCTGGGGCCAGGGAAGGGGTAGAACAATTGCAGGAGCTTTGGCGAATTGGAAAAATAGATTTAACTTTGTGTGAAGTAATTACAGCATGTAATGTAGGGAAAAAATAGCTTCCATTCTCTGCCAGCCGCCGAGCCAGCCGCTGCATATTTATGGCCCCGGCAGAGAGAGCGGGGAGGGAAATAACAGCTAGGAAAATATTAAGAGGAGAGCTAAGCTGCTCAGTTCCCCCGGCAGAGAGCTGCAAAGGCAGAATATAAAGCAGGCTGCGTTTAGTGGGGTTGGGAGAGTCTATAATTTCACTAAGTCGATGCGGGGAAATAGCAGCACTTTGCCAGGCTGGGTGGTGGATTACGGTTATCAGCGCCCGCGGGAGCAGTGCTGTGCAGCACGGGGGGCCCAGGATGGTGGTGGTCACAGCACTGTGACACTGCCGTGGGGACTGAGCATGGCTCTGTAAGGGAGATGACAGTGCCCACCTCCAGGCGCTTGACTTGTGTCCGCTCAAACTCCAGCCTGGTCTCCAGCTCACGGATCTTGGCCTCCTGCCTGCTCACCAGTGACTTGTCCACCATGGACTGCTCCAGGAACTCCAGCTGGCTCTGCAGCCCTTGCAGCTGTGGGGAGGCAGCCTCAGCACCAGCATCCTGCCCTCCCCACTCTGCCCCGCTCTGGGGACGGCCCCCATGATGCTGGGGGACCCATAAGGTTTTTAGGTGCTCCCACCCCAGCTCGGCTCCTCACCTTCTCCTGCAGCTCCTGCTTCTCCTTGCTGACCTCCTCCAGCTGTGCCTGGAGGTCGTTCATCTGTGCCAGGTCACGGGATGCCTGCGAGACAAGTGGGGCTGTTAGCGAGGCGGGCAGGAGAGTGGTGTTAAGGGCTGTGGATGTCCATCCTCACCTGGGCCACTGCTGCTTTGTGCTTCTTCATCAACTCATTCATGTCCTCCTGGTCTTCCTCCAGGCGGTTCTGCACCTCATTCTTCTCCCGCTGCAGCCGGCTCAGCTGCTCTTCCAGCTGGGGGGAAAGAACATCACCACTGCACCATGCACCTCACCCTGCCCAGCTGAGCCCCCAGGGAAAGGAGCACAGCATGGGCAGGGTTCTCCCCATGGGCATGTCCCCCTCTGAGTGGGAGAACCCCCGAAATGCCCTACCGCTGCCTTGGCTTTGGAGAGGTCATCAATCTGCAGGTGAAGGTCTTCAATCTCCACCTCCATGGACTTGCGGGCTTTGACAGCAGCTGCGCAGGTGAACTCGGACTCCTCGAGCTGCAGGAGCACAGCTCAGCACCCAGCCAGGGGGCAATGGGACACCCCCAGCCTCTCGGGGCCACGCACCTGGTTCTTGAGCTGGGCGATCTCCCTCTTGCTGGGCGCGTTGTTCTTCAGGTGGTCCAGCATGATCTGTGCATCGGCCAGCAGTGCTTTCGTCCTCTTCAGGTCGCGGCGTAGGCGCTTCTCTGTCTCGAAGTCCCTCTGGTTGGCCTGCAGCAGAGGGTCCGTGCCATGCTCTGTGCCATGGCAACCCCCCCACAGGGTGCCCCGTGCCCTACCTGATCACTGACTGCAGACAGTTTGCTCTCCAGCTCCCGCTTTTCTCTCAACACCTTCTGCTTGTCCTCATACTCCTCCTCCAGCTGCATCTCCATCTGCTTCAGCTGTGGCAAGAACCATCACGTCATAGAATCACAGAATTGTAGAACCATAGAACCATCAAATCATAGAATCTAGAACCATAAAATCACAGAGCAGCTGGACTGCAAGTGATTACAGAGCCCACCCAGCCCCAACCCTCTGCTGTGGGCAGATTGCTACTCATGGGGTTGGCCAGTGCCCCATCGTGGCCTCGGGCACCTCCAGGAATGGGGCACCCACAGCTCTGGGCAGTGCCAGTGCCTCAGCCTCACAAACATCTGAGTACAGAAGTTTCTCCCAGCATCCAATCTAAATCTTCCCTCTTTTACAGAAATCGTAGAATCACGATGGTTTGAAAAGAGCACAAAGATCATCAAGTCCAACCGCTGATCCATCATCACCACGCCCACTACAGCAGGTCACAGCTCACGTCCAGCTTAATGTGACCCTGGGTGAGCCCGGCTGGGGCCATGGCGCCAGCACCCTGTGTGTGCCACCACGTGCCCTGGGGACGCTGATGACCTGCCGGGCCAGACGCGGTGACTCCCTTTTGTGCAATGTGTGCACGATGCCCAGGACCGGTCGGACCTGCCGGGCTGCTGGAGCTGGGCAGCGGGCGTGTGGGATCCGAGCACTGCGTGACCACGGCCCAGCATCTCCCGGGATGTATCCTGGCCCCCACAGTGCAGCAGGGCCACGGGTAAGGCCTACCTTCTTCTGGCACGACTGCCGGATCTCCTCTACCTCCTCGTCGCGGCTCTCCACCTCCTTGGCGTGGGTCTGCCGCAGCCGCTCCATCTCCATCTCAAGGCGCAGCTTGGCCTGAAAAAGGGGGGTCCATCAGAGCCCAGGGGATGTGGGGGCACGGGGACACCGCAGCCTGCTGCCCCGCTCACCCTGAGAACCCCCTGCTCCGGGTCTGCCCGTGCCACCCGCCCCGCCACAACGTGCCGTGCCATGGCACCAGGGGTTCTGGAAACCAGGCCTGACGGCGCGGTGAGGGCGGCCGCCTCCGCGGGCCCATCCCCAGTAATGAGAGCCCTGCGAAACCACCCCGCCCAGAAACCCTCCCCGCCCACCCTACCTGCTCCAGCATCTGGATGGTGCCGGCCTGCTCATCCAGCTCCTCCTCCTGGTCCTTCGCCTTGGCCTCCAGGTCGCGCAGCTGCTTCTTCACCTTGGCAAGAGACGCCTCGTCCTTGGATTCCTGGCAGGAGATGTCCTGCAGCTCTGCCTCCAGCGCCTCCGCCCGCTGCGTCAGCCCGGCGATGTCTGCATCTTTGTCCTGGATTGGGATGTTGGGATGGGGACGTGGCGGTGAGACAGCGCTGTGCGCCACGCTGAGCGGAGCGCTGCTGGGTGGGGAACCGCTCACCTCCAGCAGCTGCTTGAGGCCGAACACCTCAGCCACCAGCACGTCCTTCTCACGGCTCAGCTTCTCCCGCTGCAGCCTCTCCCTCTGCGCCTCCTCGTGCGCCTGCGACAGCTCTCCATCAAACCTACACGCGACAGCACGGCACGCTCAGGGACCCCCATCTCCAGCATTTCCCTCCGGTGTCAGCTCCCCGTCCCATCCCTGCAGGGTGTGTGCCTGCAGTTCAGCCTCTGCCAGGATGGGATCAGAGGGGTTTGCTGGGAAATCGCTGCCTCCAGGGCTTGGAAAATTGCCCCGGCTCGGTGACCTGCCTTACGCATCCCGGCGGCTAATCCCCATCTTTCTTTGCGCCGGGTAATAAACAGCTGCATTAGCACAGACTCCAATCCACGGAAATTGAAATTAATTAGATTGGATTCTCTCGCTGTATTTGTGTGCGTGATCATTACCATAATGAGATGAAAGCATCCCCGCTGCTTAATAACGTTAGCAAACTTTGGGGCTGGGAGAGGGGATGGGAAGAGAGCGGAGCTGCGCGGCGTGGCACGAGTGTCCCCCGGCACGGGAAAAGAGTGCTCCCACCCTGAGCATCCCTCACACCCAACGCAGAGCGAAGGCAGCACTCCCTGCGTGAAGCACCTCAGCCAAGTGGGAGCTGGTGGGGTGCCCAAACCCCAGCTAAAATGGTAAAAGCACTCTGCGAGAGGCTCCGAGGGCAATGTCACCACACCGCTGCCGTGCCGCACAACCCCACCTGCGCTGCTTCTTCTCCAGGTCGTGGTTGCGGCCCTGCTGCCCCTCCAGGTGCAGCTTGGTGTCCTGCAACTCGGCCGCCAGCCGCTGGCACTTCTTCTTCAGCTGCTGCAGCGCCCGCTGGCTCTCCTCACCGTCCGCCTGCAGGTCTGCCAGCTGTGGGCAGGGCGGGCAGGGGGTCAGTGCTGCAGGGTGGGCATGGGGGCACGGTGGGGACGGCGGCGTGGAGTGGCACTCACCCTGCGCTCCAGCTGCCTCTTGCCCTGCTGCTCCACCTCCAGCTTGTCCTCCAGCTCCTGCTGTAGCCGCTTCTTGGTGAAGTCGATCTCCCGCACCGCCCGCTCGTATTTCAGCCTCCACTCGCCGCCTGCACGGGGAAACGGGGGCTGAGTGGGGCGATGCTGCACGGGGCACCCCACGTCGTGCCCCACGCTGAGCCCATGGTGGGACGCTACCTGAGTCATCGTCGTCCAGCTCCCCGTTGAGCTCGGCCGCACGGATGAGCCGAGCCTCCATCACCTCCATCTCCATGGATTCCATCTGCTTCTTCAGAGCATCGTACTTGGCCTGGGGAGGGGACAGGGTGAGCCTCACAGGGACGTGGGGTGGCAGCGGGGGTGGGTGGGGGCACGGTTGGATACCTGCAGGTCCTTCATCTCCTTCTCGGCACGCAGCCTCTCGGCCGTCTCGGCGTCCAGCAGCTGCGAGGCTGACTCGCCCGTGTTGCGTTCGTCTGTCAGCTCCGATGTCAGCTCCGTGATCTGGGGACAGCAGGGATGTGGCAGTGGCAGGGGGGGGCACGGCAGCACGCTGCGCCCATCGCAGGGCTGGGACCTACCCTGCTCTCCAGGCGGTCGCTGTTGAGCCGCAACTCGTTGCGCTCCTTCTCTACTTTCTCAAGTTTGCTCTTCAGCTGTTGGATCTCTTCCTGCAACAGAGTGGTGAGGGAGGGGATGGGGCTGGCAGCACCCCCAGCTCTCCCCGCATGGGGCGGGCAGCATGGGGGCTCCCCCTGCCGAGGGCTGGGCAGGGACTTTCCCAGCACGACTCCAACCCCATAAATGGTACCGAAACGCCTGGCAGCCTCCAGAGGAGAGGGGTCTGTGAGCCTCCAGAGAGGGGATGGGAGCAGGAGGGGACCCTGCAGCCCTCAGCTCAGACACCATCTCACTGGGTCAGGGTGAAAGCTGAGCCAGGCAGTGGCTCTGTGCCAGGTGGGGGCACAGTGTCTGGTTCCCCCCTGTGCACGCCTCTTGGCACGCGGTTTCATTTCCATTCTCCACGCCTGTAATTGGGCTCTTGCAACAGCCGGCTCTTGGGATACTAATGACATGCTGATTCACAAATTAGGGAGCAATTTGAGCCTGGTGCTGGGGGGCACGGGGTGTCCTGCATCTCACCCAGCATGGGGTCCATTCACCATAGTGTCCTTCATTCACCATGGGGTCCTGTATCCACCACGGGGTCCTGCATTTACCACAGGATTTTGCACCCCACCCACTCCAGGTTCCTACATCCACCACGAGATGGTCATACATCCACCACGGGGTCCCACATCTACCACAGGGTCATGCACCTCACCTACAGTAGGGTCCTGCATCCAACACAGGGTCCCACATCCCACCTCACTGCTCTGCCCATCACCAACCCTCCCCCATCCCCGCGGCACGGTGATACCCACGTCCTTGCCACGGATCTGCTCCTCAGTGAGCTGCACCTCGATGAGGGGCCTCACGGTGGTGAAGAGCTTCCACCAGGGCCAATCCTTCACCCCTTTGTTCTTCTTGATGTTCTTCTGCACGCAGCGGATGGCCAAATCCTGGATCTGCACCGGGGCACGGCGTCAGGTCTGGGATACCACCGGCCCACTGGGATGCGTGGGTGCTCAGCACCCCGGCACACTCCCCTTCATTATCAAGCAGGCTAATTGCCCCTGGCTTATCTATCCAATTGCCTCCAGCACCGAGGTGCTGCAGCGATGCCTATTTTACGCAGCCTTTAATTATAAAGTGGGAGCCGGCACCGCTGCTCCATCCCGGCACCGTGGGGCAGCACCAAGCCCACAGCCCCACAGCCGGCCCCACAGTCGGCCCCACAACTCCCCACAGCTCAGTGGAGGCGGGAGGGGGAGGTGCTGGGCCAGGCGGCAGCAGAAAGGCTGCGCTGCCCATTTTAGGCGAAATTGTGCGCAGAGGAGCGGGGAGGGGAGAAGCACTACGAACCTTCCTCTTCTTGAAGTGCTGCCGTGCCAGGAAGCCCCTGCACGCCGCCTGGAACAGGGTGATGTTCCTGCTGGTCTGCGCGTCCCGCTGCTCCTCCAACCTGGCCAGTGAGCCAGCACGGAAAAACACCTGAAGGGGGGAGCGCGGTGAGACGCCAGCATCCCTCCAGTGTCACACCAACGGGAATGGGGTGCTCTCCCTCGTCCCCAGCTCCGTGGCCCTCATCCCAGCGTGGGTGGCCCTGTGTGGGGCTTTTGTTCCCTGAGGAATGGCGTAGGGGGAGCGCACAGCGCTGCCCTTGTGCCAGGCGCCTGCCCTGCCCTGTCCACAGAGAGCAGGGATGTCCCTGCAGGGCTCCTACCCGGCTCAGACCCATGTGATAGCTGCTCTTCTCCAGGTCCAGCGACTCCAGGAGCTCCTCGACTGCCTGCAGGGAAGGAGGAGCATCAGAGTGTGGGGCACAGGGTGTGGGATGCGAGATGTGGGGGCGCAAGGCTGTGTACCCGCTTCTCATCCATCACGATGTAGTTGCGGCCGTGCTTCTTGGTGAGGTGTGGGGCCAGCACGTCAAAGCGCCGCCGGAACTCAGCAAACACCATATGGTCAGGGTAGCCTGGAGTGGGGAGAGCAGGGCCATGGGGCAGCTATGGGGCAGCCAGAACACCTGGGGGGCGGCTAGGCACACCCCCGTGCCTTTTCCTTTGTTTGTTCCTTGCACGGAACGAGGCTTTCCTTGGCCGCATTGAACAATTTTGGCCAAGATCTGGGGAGAAAGCAGCCTCGGGGGAGAGCAGAGACACGTGTGTCACCCGCAGCCTGGGAGAGCTGCCAGCAGCCGGGCAGCACCGGCGCAGACACCCAAGTAAGGCCATGTGTGTCCCCAGTGTGACAACAGCTGGGGGGAGGACACTGGCAGCAGCACTGCTCCAAGCGAAGCCTGTGCCAAAGGGGATCCCCAGGGGGACCCGAGGAGAACGCACGGGGATGTGAGCCGCAGGGGGGGCGCTCACCTTGTCGGTACATGCGGAGGGCATCGAGCAGGCGGGAGCCGCGGAGCTGAGCGCGCAGCAGGGGCACATCCAGCTGCATCAGCCCCGCGGGCTCGCAGTGCTCGGCCGGCAGCTCCAGCTCACTGCCGCTCACCCGGCGGCACGGCAGCCCTCGGGGGTCCCCACCGCTCCCCGCCGCTTTGGGTAGGAAGCAGTGCACAAAGTGCAGCTTGGATTTCTTGATGCTGTCGATGAGGGCATCCTATGGGGACAGGAAAGCATGACAAGGGAGGTGCTGTTGGGGTCTCACACCCGTGCCATGGAGCACCCAAAGCAGGGTGACAGGATGCACAAAGCATGGTGGTGGGATCCCCCAGCCCGGCGTCCCCTGCTCACCACTTGCAGCTTGACCTGGATGCACAGTGATTTCTTCTTGACTGCAGCCACCCCAGTGGTGAAGGTTTTTCGCATGCTGGTGGCCCGGCGCAGGGCCAGCTGTGAGCCCCCCTCCAGCCCTGCCACCGAGCCCGACAGCACCAGCGCCGAGCTGCCGCGCCCTGCAAACAGGCTGCTGATGATCTTCCTGGGGGGTACAAAGGCATCGTCACCCCCAAAACCACCTCCTCCAAACCGTCCCCTGCTCCATAACCCCAAACTGGGGACCCCGCTCACTTCTGCGACTCCTGAAGAAGCACGGAGGCGTTCTGGGTGGCTGGGTTGTGCTTGACGTGGTTGAGCCAGCCTGTGGCATCGTAGTGCACCCAGTTGGTGCCCGAGCTGTGGCCCAAGAAGAAGTGCCGGGGTTTGTCGCTGGGCAGCAGCGGGTCATGTCCTGTAGGGACACAAGGCACTGCTGGGCACAGGGACCACAGGTGGCTTGGTCAACACATCCAGGCAGTGTCGGTCCCCATCCTAACCTTTCTTGCTCCCCTCCTGGGGGCCATAGTAGGCCAAGAGCCGCTCCAGCAAGGTGTCCTCGCTGCCACCTGGCTGCAGGGCCTCCTCCTCCAGCAGCCACAGCAGCCCCCGTGCCTCATCAGTGCGCGCCAGTGAGCGGACCTGTGGGTGACACTGCACTTACACCAGAACCTGGATGCCAGAGGGGATGGGGGAGAGTGAGGGGAATCCTGGGCTGCATGCAACACAAGCAGCAAAGCAACTCTGCACCACGTGAGGCAACCCCTGCTCAGTGTGCACCCAGTGAAGAAAGGCAATAGGCAATGCAACAACCTTGCGGGGGAGCAAAACAATGCACTCAGGTAAGTGAAAAGCCAGTGTGGCGTCAGCACCATCAGCCCCACTTGATTTCTGCAGCCCCATCCAGTACCGGAGCGCCCTTGGGACTGGTGCACCCCAGGGAGCAAAGCAGCCCAGGGATCAAAGCACCTTGGGGATGGGGCACCCCAGGGAGCAGAGCACCCCAAGGACCTGTGCACCTTGGGAACTGGAGCACTCCAGGGATTAAAGAACTCTGGGGACAGGAGCCCTGGTGTGCCCCACAGACCGGAGCATCCCAGCGATTAAAGCACCCTGGCGACCAGACTACCCAAAGGATGGATGCACTCTGGGGACCGGAGCACCCTGAGGACCACCAGAGACCCCACCATCCTCCCTGCAGCCTGCTGCACACATGCAGCCTAACTCTCCCAAGCCTTCAGGAAAGCATCTTATATCACCTTTTCTTCCCTTCATTAGCACTAATGCCTCCAGCTCCTCATCCACGCTACGGGAGCAGGTCTGGGGGATGGAGATGGCCACAGCAAAGCTGGGACCCAGCTGGGATGGTGACCATGAGGAATGTGGGCTTACCAGTGCCTGGTGGGAGGGCTGGTCTACAGCAGCTACAGAGCCCCAGGAAGTGGGCTCTGTGTCAGCCAGAGCGAGCTCTATGTTTTCCTGGAGAGAACGGACAGAGAAATGGTTAAAGCCTGTGTGACTGCAGACCAGCATTAGGGATGCTCAGGTCTCAGTTCAGTTGGATCAGGGCTGAGGGGGTTCCCACTGCCCTGCTGCCCTGCACTTTGGGAGACGTTATGGAAACCCCCATGGTGCAAAGAGACAGTGTCAGAGCTGATGGGTTTGACTCGGTCTGGAGTGATCTCTGGTTAGTCAGTTTGGGAAGTAAGGGGGATCACAGGGACTTGACAGTGGTGGAGCAGAAAGAAAAGGAGAGGAGGGGGTCCTGGTGGCCAGGGGGTCCCTGCTACCTCCTTGTAGCGCTCCAGCTCCTGGGCGAAGGTGCGCTGGTGGAAGAGGAGCTGCAGGCGCTCCTGGGCGTAGTTGTGGCACAGCTCCTCAAAGGTGGCCCCTCGGCTCTGCCCCACCACCTCGGGGTTCTGTGCCCCAGGGGTGTCCACCACCGTCACTGAGCACACCGAGTGCTGGCTTGACTTGAGTGCCCTGCAGGGAACAGCAGGGTGGATGTGTGGATGGATGAATGCTGCCAGACTCCCAGATCCCTCAAAACCCCACTCTATACCTATTAAGCAGGGAGATAAGCAGGGTGAAGAGCTCCGAGTACAAGCCTGCAGCCATGCCCTCCAGGCACTCCAGCGCCGTCAGCTTGGGACCTGCAGGAGGGGACCGCTGTGCTCTGAGCATCCCTGGCCATATGCCCCCCAGGGCCGCCTGCACCCTACCTGTGCCATCACCCATGCCCGGCTCCTCGGGGCCCTGTCTGAAAGAGGTGGAACGCTGCAGGCTGCCCTTGGGCTGGTGCTTGAAGATGGAGGAGGAGAGCTCCTCCAGGCTGCAGCCCAGCAGGTAGGCGGCTTTCTGAGCCCACTCGTGTCGTGCAAACTGCTTCCTGCCAGCTAAAGAGGAGAAAGAGAAGCTCAGCACTGGTTGTCACACGTGTGGTGCTCTGCTGCTATACCCAGTGGTCACAGGGTTCCCCATGGTGGGTTAGGGTCAGGGGTGACATGTGAAAGCCATTCCCGAGGTGGCATTTTGGGGCTCAATTAGAGAAGATGAGGATAAGGAGCTTTTTTCCTCTGCAAGGCAGAGCCACGCTGGGGACACGGGGACAGCCCTCTCCATTGCTGCCACCCACAGAGCCCTGAGGTGGTGCAGGGCTCTGAGCTGCCTTGGTCTGGGGACATGGCCCTGCTCGGCCACCACGATGTGACAGGACAGATGGATGGGCACACAGACGCAGGGAGGTGGGAGCAGGTTAATGGTGACACGACAGAGGGAAGGCGGTGGCACAGGGGATGGGGAAGGCAGAGGCACGCGGAGAACAGGACATTACCTTCGTCGGCGTCTGCATTGCAAAAGGGCAGCATGCACCATGCAAACAGAGACAGGGGTTAGAAACAACAGCACGGCACAGCGCGGGCACGCAGCATAGGGATGCCCAAACCTGTGCCAAACTCCAAACCAAGATGTGGGGATGCCCCTCCTGACCAGGTTTTGGAGCACTCCCCACAAGCAGAACGTAGTGATGCTGCCCATAACTGGGATCAGGGGATGCCCCCAGCCCCACGCGGGAGCTTCCACACCACCCTTGCATCCTCGCAGCAGCGCTGCAGTGGGGTCCTGCTGCCCTCTAGTGCCTCAAAACACCCTGAGGACAGTGCAGTGTCCTTCAAACCCCTCCAAAACACAGGGCAAATGGGACTCTCCTCAAATTCCTTTCTCATCTTTCTCCCCCCCGGGTGCAAAATCCCTTGGTCCAAACTCTCCTGTGAGCCTGAAAGCAGCAAGAGAGGCTTTCAGCACCTGGAAGGTGGCACAAGATGGGGAGAAGAGCAGCCACAGAGGCTGAACCTGCACAGAACCTGCAACCTGCCCACCCAAGGCAAATTTCCTGCTCTCAGTGAAGGAGAGGAGAGCTGTCAGGGCAAGCCCAGGTGCCAACAGAACTGCACTGGAACACCCAGCACACCTGAGCTCAGCCATTTAACACATCCCGGCCCCAAGCATTTTGTTACCTTTGGTGGCTCCAGCAGCCCCCAGGTGGTAGATGGCCCCCAGGACCAGCCAGAAGGCTTTCTGCTCATCGCTGGAGATGCCCATCACCTTCATGGCAGCCTGCAGCTTGTTGAACTGCTGGGTAGCCTTCTGTTTCTCCTCTGGCTGCAAGGAGAAAAGAGCCATTGGCACACAGTGCAATCCCTCTGCCCATCTCTCCCCTTGTCCCCCACCCTTCTGCAGCCCCCACCCAGACCAACAGCACACAGGACCTTGGCGAGGGGCACAATGCCAAAGACGTTGTTCTCCGCCAGGTGGTTGAAGTGCAGCTCTGTCCTGTCGGAAGAAAACCCCCAGGTTGGTCCCCGTGGAGGTAGGAGCCTCTTGAGCCCCCACCAGGGCCGCACTCACCGCAGGGTGCTGTCGGAGCAGGCCAGCAGGTAGTAGAAAACATTGAATGTGGCCTCATTGGCTGGGCGCCGGGCAACACGCAGCTTCTCCAGCAGCAATGTCTGGGAGACAGGGGGAGGATTGGGAAGCATCCCTGGGGGACACACTCCCACCGAGACCCCCAGCCCCAGCCTGGGCCTTGCTGTCAGCCCTGGGTCCCCATGGTGGCACAGAAGTCTTCGTGCCCTGTCAGTAGACACTGCTTAATACAAAGATCTGAGTGAGCCATGAGCATCTCTCCTGGTGCTGCCGAGCGTGCTTGGCATGTACCTGTTACCACTGGAGCTGCCGTTTTAAGGGCTGCTGCTATCACACGAGAGACAGACCCCCTGGTATCAGCGCAATCCAGCCAGCAAAGGGAGCCAAACTAATCTGTGCTCTGCCCTCCAACTGCCCATGCGCATCAGGACGCAAAGATGTGAGCACAGTGTGGCTGCAACCACAGCGAGGCTGTGGGTCTGCACAGATCAGGGAGAAAACCCCCATGGCATGGAGCCGCTCTGGCACCCAGGGGGCTGAGCAGCCCTCACCTGTATGGAGGCGGATGCCACCTGCCCAGCCTGGTCGAAATCCAGGGAGATGATCTGGGAGAAGCGCGTAGCATTGCCGTTCATGCTGGTGCTGCTATTGCCAAAAGCCTCCAGGACGGTGTAGAGCGCCTGCCACTTCTCCGCTGCGGGAAGACAAGCGGGGCGGTGCGGTGTGCGGGGCCGGCGGCGTGAGAAAGCGAGAGAGCGGCGCGCCGTGAGCGCAAAGCATGCGAGGGGACTCACCGGAGAAGACCTTGCCGGTGCTGCCGGCGATGGTGGCGAGGTACTGGACGAGGTGCTGGCAGTTGGTGGTCTTGCCGCTGCCGCTGGCGCCCAGCAGCACCACCGCCTGGTCCTGGCGGCCCATCAGCATGCTGCGGTAGGCGGCCTGCGCCACGGCGTAGATGTGCGGGGACGCGTCCTCCCGGCGGCACCCCTTGAACATGTGCATCACCTGCGGGGATGGCGCTCAGCACCCCGGCCCCAAACAGCGGCGGCTCTGCAAGGTGACGTGTCCCCGTCTCCCCCCAACCCAGCGTCACCTTCTCAGAATACATGGAGGGGGAGCTCAGCGGGTTGATGACCACCATGGCCGGGCCGGCGTAGGTGTGGATGAGGTTGCTGCCATAGCGCTGCCGCAGCGTGTGCAGGACGCTGGACTCGTTGAGGTAGAGGAGGCTGGCGAGGTCCTCCGCGCGCTCACAGGACGGAGGGTTCGCCTGGCAGCGAGGAGGGGGTCAGATGGAGAACTGGAGTCCCCTCTGCCCCACAGCCCCCACCATCCCACAGCCCTACCTTCTCCACGTCGTCCTCCTCTACCTCCAAGACAGCTCCGTCGTGGTCCAGCTTCACCTTCACCTTGCCCTCGGGCAGGGCACTGGGCTCCTCCGGCCGCAGCTGGCTGCCTGCAAGGGCATGGGGTTCAGCGGGGTCCCGAAAGCCTCCCATGCCCCAGCCAGCCCCTGACTCACCCAAGGAGAAGCCATCCTTGTGCACCAGCCACACCTTGTCAGTCTCATACCAAGCCTCCTCAGCAGCGATTTGCTCCTCTGTCTTGGCCTGAGGGACAGAGGGACAAAGGGGCTGGAGGGAGCCCAAACCCGCGTGACACCCCGCCTCCCCAGGAATCCACTGGGTGGGATTGGAGCCCCAGGTCCCTGCCATGGATGGGACAGACTTGAAGTCACAGTGAGTTCAGGGTGCATTCATCACGATTACCCCCATTCCCAAACTGCAGCCCCATGCTGGGATGCAGGGACACATGGTGTGCCGTAGGACACGGCGTGCTGCAGGGACACGGCATGCTGCAGGGACACAGGATACAGCACACTGGTGGCCATCCCATAGGTGTGGGAAAGGCCAGGCTGGCACTTTGGGGACATCGCTGCTATCTGCTAGCAGGACGAGCCCCAAAGACAAACCTGAGCCGCAGCAGGGCTGGGGCCGACGGGGGCCGAGAGAGCATCGTCTGCTTGTCCCTATTAGGGCCAACAGATGGGGAGCGAGGGTAAGAAGGGGCACGCTGCCCTGCTGCGAGCATGGGGGAAGCAAACAGAGCCTGATGGCACAGCACAGCCATCCCAAAGCCCCCAGGCATGGGGCCAGCGCTTGGCCACAACGGTGCTGAGGACACACGGAGCTGGGGGGGGCACAGTGACCACGAGGCTGCCGAGCAGGAAGGTGCACTACTGGGGATGGTGCCACATGCTGGGACATGCAGGAAAGCAGGGTGCCTTCCTGGCCCCTCTGTGGTGGGGGAAGCCTTACGCTCCAGCACGAGGCGCGGGCGCAGATGCCGGCCCAGTGGCACACAGAAGACAGCGGGAGGGCGGCGGGGGCAGAGAGCTGCTGAGGACAGGGGTACGGTACCTGGCTCGGGGCCGGGGTGACGGGGTCCAGCTGGCAGCAGCGAGAGAGAAGGAGGGAAAGAAGAGAGGGGTGAGAGGCAGAGAGCAGAGCCGGCACAGCCGCGTTGTGCACGCAGGGATGGTGACACGGCACGGTGGCTCCAAGGCCATGTGCACCGCTCAGGGCGGCGATTGCCAAACCTGCTGCCTGCAGCCAGCAGCACCCAGTGTGGCACCATGGGGCCAGTGGCCAAATGTGGGGGTGCTAAAGCCCCATGCGAGCGCACGCTGAGGACGGGATAACATCCCCATCCCTACCCCTAACCCTAAGCCCATCCTGCACAGCACAGGGCCGTGCTTGAGCATCAAACCCCTCCACCCGAATTACAGAAGCAGTGAAGATCCTCTCCAGCCGGCGCTGGGCCTCCTCCGATGGGCTCAGCCGGGGCGTGGGGCCGGGCGCAGCCTGGAGGCAGAGCACCATTAGCAGCAGGCAGCCACCCTGCAGCCCTTGCTGGTGGCACAGAGGACATCACCAGCACGTGCTCAGCCCTACAGCCCACCGGGACCAACACCGTCCCGACAGTGGGACACCCACAGCACCCAGCACCGCCCCGGGCAGCCCTGCAGGGCACATGGCACTGCAAACCCCACTCCCACACACCTGCTGGGGGGGTCCCGGGGCGGTTTTTGCTGGGGTCGCTCGCTTCTCACCAGGCTGCTGCTTCTTCTCGGCATGAGCAAGACGGGGAGATAAGGGCAGTGTGACGGGGTGCACCCCAAATAACGTCCCCACGTGTCACCGCACACCCCACATAACCCAAAACCACTGCACGCCATGCAGGTGAGCTCACACCATGCTCTGCCACACAGGTTAGGGCACCCATGCTGTATGCACACGCGCTACCTTGTGCCTCTCCAGGGCGGTGGGTTTCGGGGCGGACGCCTTTGCCGGCTCCGCTTTCCCTCCCGAAGGCCGTGCTGGAGGCTCTGGTGTGGCTTTGGCACCCGGGGACACAGCCGGCTTTGCATCGCCTGCCGCCGGCTCAGGGGACTTCTCCTGCCTGTCCCCCGGCCGGACCCGTGCCCGGTGCTCTTTGGTTTTCCCCTTGGCCATAAGAGTTGTGAGCCCTGCTGAGATCTCATCTCTGGGCTCCGGCTTGGCGGGAGTGGATGGTTTGGCCGGGGGTGGTGGAGGGGGTGGCGCGGGGGGGACCATCTCCTCCTTTCTGGGGGGCGGCACGGGCTCGGGGGGCTTCACCTCACCAGCATCATCGCCAGGCAGGACTTTGCGCACCACCTTCCGCACCACCCGCACCACTCTGCGGCGGGACAGCCCCTGCCCGTCATCCCCCTGCCCATCACCGCCCGCCCCGGGGCCCTCAGGCCCATTGGTGGCCCCGTTCAGCACCGGCTCCGGGCTCTTTGCGCTCCCTGCTGGTGGGTCGGGGCTCTTCGGGGGATCGGGCTTTGGGCTTGCGGGTGCCGCATCCTTCCCAGCGTTTGGGCTTGGGCTCTCTGGCTGCAGCCATGAAGACAGCAGGGGGTTAGTGGGGGTCGGACAGAGCACTGCCCACCAGGACAAGGGGTCAGCCCCCTCCCTGCCCACCCTATGGCTCCAAGGGGAGGGCACGATGCCGACCTCCCTGTCCCCACACCCAGGACCCCGTCAACCCCTGAGCTGCAGGTATGGGGCAAAAACTCATTGTGCTCAGCTATTTTTACTGCAGTGCATGGGACAACCTGCAAGACATCCCCTTCTGACAGTTACGGCAGCTGCTGTGTTAACAAGCAAGCAAGCACTGAACCTCTGTCCTGCCAGACTCTGTGGGGCAGGGACCACAGTCCACCATCAAAAGCACCCATAGCCCACATACTGCCCTGGAGCAGCTGCAGGAGGGGGATTTGCTCAGAGGTGTGCCCCAGCCAAGGGTGAGCCCTAAGCCAGCCCTGTGCGCCCTGCCCCATGCCCTGCAGCACTTACAGCCCCGTCCTCCTTCCCGGGTCTTTTCACAGCTAAAGCTTTGTCCTCGTCCTTTACCTGAGGGTCACAAAGGAGAGGAGAGTGTTTCAGCCCCCAAAGGTGCTGTGGGGACAGCACATGGCCTTTTGTTGTGGCACTTTGGTGGGAGGGGGGGTGCAAAGCCTCAGCACAGAAATCTGCAGGATGGAGAGGGAGGAGGCTGAAAGGCACAGCCTGGTTGGTTACAGCGAGCCCAAAGCAGGAGGGCTGCGCTGCAGCTGGAGTGGGGCAACTGATAGAGCCACTTCACATCCCTGGTTGTGTTAGAGAGTGAGTTAGTGCTGGCGACGTGTTAGGGGTCGTGTTAGGGGGTGCCTCAGCGCTGGGGGAGTTCCGGCCCCAGGAGCACTGCCATGGGTGTGATGGGTGCTGGGGAGCAGTGCAGGGTGCGAGCAACCACGAGCAACACTTCCCTTCTGCTCCCAGAACGCAAAGCGGGACGAGAAGGCCATGGCGATGTCTCATGGAGCCGCGGCCCTGGCTGGGGGAAAGAGGCAGAAGTGAGCAGGACGGGGCTGGGGACCCAGGGACCCTGAGCTGAGCCGGCCCTGTCCATAGGGAGTGCCTGGGGATGGGAACTCATTCTGCAAAAAAAGCTGCTTCGCTCACCCCCCAGCGCTGCACACAGCACTGCAGCCCACGGCTGTAAGCAGATGCCGGGGTGAGCGCAGGGATATTTCTGCCCCGCGCACGCGCTCCGCACACCGGGGGTTATTCTGAGCCCGACCCCATGCCAGCAGCCGGGCAGCCCCCAAAGGGTCCCAGCGCCCCCACACAGCACCGCACCCCAATACCCAGCGGGGCCGACGCGGCTCTGCCCACTGGGGCGCCGCAAAGAACCGCCCCAAAGCACGGAGGAGCGCCCTGACCCATGTGGGATCGCAGCACCCTCCCCTCAGCACCTGGGCCCACTCCCACCCTCCTGAGCGCAGCGCTCCGGGCACAGAGGCCCCCTAACCCCCTTTTCCCCCCACGCCCCCTTTCCAAGTGAACCCGACAACGGGGTCCCGTCCCAGAAGCGGCCCCCGTTGCTGCCTCCACCTCATTAAGGGAGGGCCCCCCCCACCGCCCCGAGCTCCCCACCTTACCGCGGGGATACAGGGGGCGAGCGCGGCGCGAGGCGGTGGGTGAGGCTGGCGGCGGTGCGGGGACAGCTGGGCTGATAGGGCCACCCTAAAAATAGCCAAGGAATGCGAGGGCCCCGGCGGCGCGCGCAGCAGGCGGAGGGCGCACGGAGGGGGGGGACGGGAGGGCAGCGGGGCCTCTCCCCCGCTGCTGGAGGAAGTGATGTGGGCCCTGAGGCTGCTCGGGAAGCGTCCGGCCCCCGTCCCACTGCCCGCCCCTACAGTGCTGTGTTGAGGATCCTCGTGGCACAGCACTGGAGTGGCCTCGAGGAGTAACGCTGGGGACGGAGAGCCCTGAGCCCCGCGGGGTGGCATGGAGGGTTGTCCTCGTGCCAAACCGAGCTGCTGCGGCTGATCCCAGCACCACAGCACCAGTGAAAGTTACCCAAATCATGACAGGATGCACAATGGAGACGGCAAAACCAGGCATCGGGATGCCAGGAGGTATCGTGGTAGTTCCTGTCTACCCTGGACATCAGATGTGCCCTGAGCCAAAACCACTGCTGCAGGAGACAACAGGTCGGAGCCACTTATGGGGTGAACACCCCCATCCCACAGCTGCCCCAAACCCTCTCCACACACCTCTCCTGGGTCATGCATCGGGGATGGCGATAGGGGTGGCACAGCAGAGCATGTCAGCAGTGACACTGCTGTCCTCGGCGGCCGCCACGCTGTTACCAGCCAAGAGGTCGTAGCCGTGTCCTCTGACAGTGGGGCTGGGCTCTGACATGTGCCTGGGCTCTGACATGTGCCTGGAAGCCGGTGCTGCTGCCCATGGGCTGCGTCTGCCTCCATAGGAACCCACAGCCCAGCCACAGTGCACCAACCCTACGGCCAAGGCATGGCACCAGCCCCCTCCCTGGGGTCTCCTGGGGACCCCTGCAGTGGGGACAGCACTGCCCCCGTAGCAAAGGCAGAATAAATGGTAAATGAGGAGCTTTTCAGGGAGGACACAAAGAAATAAGGAGGAAGCACTTCTGGACACGGGTGCCCAAGGCCAGTGAGGGCACGTGGGGTGCGCCGGCAGGGCCACGGATGTTTGTGGTCTGGCCAGATCGGGAGCGTTTCTGGAATATTTCTGCCCCAGCAGAGCTGGACGGCGCATGCCTGCACCCTGCCTGAGGAATTTCACTGGTAAATAAATAAATAGGAGCCTGGAGCTGAGCCAGAGTGGCTGCCCAGCACCCAGAGCATGGCTGGCACCCCTTAGCACAATGGGGTCTGCCCAGAGCCCCCCCAGGCATCACATCCAGTGCCTCCTGTTCCTGGTCCCCACCATGGGAGTGGGCAGTGGGATGAGGGTGGCTCCTGGGTCCCTCCGTGGAGGGGTTAAACCCCGCCACCTTCCCCGCTTCAGCCGGGGAGGGGCTACTGGAGCAATAGCCCAAAATATGTCTATAATTTCCTGTTTCAAAAAGGATCATTTTTATTTAAATTAGGACCAGAAACATTCCAGGGAGCTTAGCTGGGCCTGGGGGAGCACTGGGCCTCCCTGTGTGCATCAACACCTTGCACAGCCTCAGTGGGAGAGGGACACTCTGACTGCGCCCATCCCAACCCCTGGCAAGGCGGGTGGCACCTGCAAAGCCGTGGTGTGTCCCTTGGTGTCCTCACTGCAGGACGAGGGACCCCAGAGAGCTGCAGCTGCCAGGGAGGACACAGGACACACCGGTGCAGAGCAGTGTGGACAGGGGGTGCCCATGCCCTGAGCTGGAGGAAAGGGCTGAGAAACAGGGGGCACTGCTGGGAGCCCAGAGCACAGCGCTGGCTGAAGCCCAGAGCCCGCCCTGGCTGCGCGGCACATCCTGCCGATAAGCAGCCATCTGTGGTCAGCGCGCAGGACGGCTCCTTTCCAGGAACTGCTTCTGCCACGATTTATGCCTTAACCCCCTGCAGGCATCGGCCCTGCAGCACCAGGCTCAGTTTGTTGCCTGCTAAATGGGAAGAGCACTGCTGCCTGCAAGCGCTTGCCATGCCAGCACCCACCGTGAGGCCGCGTGCCACGCTTCTCCCTGCACCCCACACTCCAAGGGCACAGCGTTTCCTCCTCCCCCATCCCAGCCTGAGCACCATGCTCTCACTGCCACCGGCACACTGCCAGCCCCCACTTGCTGGCAGCAACTGTGCACCCGCACCAAGCTGGAGTGCTGCAGCATGGGGTGCCCCACAGCTCTGCATCACAGCCCACTGCGTGTGGGGTCCGGCTCCATAGGATCACAGCATCCCAGGATGCCTAATGCTCACAGCAAGGTCAACGGAACTGGCAGCACACGGGGAAGATGTGGGTCACCCAGCCATTGAGTTTCTATTTATACAGCACCGACTGCGCACGCTGGGCTGTGCAAACCCTCTGCAGCTCCCTGTCGAGCACCGTCCCCGTGAGACCTGGGGTTACAGCACAGAGAGGTTCCTAGCACTGCCATCCTCAGACCCAGTGGGAAACAAAAGGATTTTCCCCGTACTCCTCCATGGGAAGGGAGGTGAGCACTGCAGAGGGAGGCAGAGGGAAGATCCGCAGCACCCACTGCTTCCCACGCCCTGTGCCAACCCAGACACCTGCAGTGGGGACACCAGTACTCACATCCCACGCGGCACGGCGCGTCCCCTCGGCGCCCCGCAGCCAGCAGCGGCTCAGCTCGCTCAGCTCCAGGATGGGCTGCACCTTCAGCTGCACCGTCTCACCGGATTGCCGGATCATCTCCACGATCTCATCCCGTGTTTTATTCTCCACGTTTTTCCCGTTGATCTCCACCAAGCGATCGCCTGGCACCAATCCCAGTGCCAAATCCTTGGTGCCGGCGCCGGGTTCAGCAAAATGCACGACGCGGCGATACACCTGGCCATCGGGGGCACAGTCCAGCATGGTGGTGCGGCGCAGCGAAAAGCCAAAATCACCGGTGTTGCGTCTCTGCAGCTCCAGCTGCCGAGGTGCCGGAGGCTGCGGGGGCACCAGGGCGGGCAGGCGCAGCTCTGCAGTAAACCTCTTGCTCACCAGCTCTGGGGGTCTGGAGATCGAGGAGGGCACAGGAGGGGTGCGGGGATGCCCTTGGGGTGCGCCTTGCTTGGAGAGCTGAGCCTCCAGTGCGCGTACCTCCACCTGAGGGGAGGGGGCTGCTGAGTGCTCCGAGGGGGTGGAGGTCTCCGACGCGCTCTCATCGCGGCTCTTCTGTGAGAAGGAGAAGCGCTTAACGATCATCTGTGAGTTCTGCTTGGCCAAGGAGCCAAACTTGGCCGCCCGCTGCAGCACCGAGCCCTTGAAGTTGGCGTCGTCCACCTTGAGGTCGTCGCTGGAGCTGGCCGTGCTCAGGTGGCCCGAGTCCAGGATGACGCTGCCCCGGTTGCTGTCAGAGTCGATGTCGGTGAGGTGCAGATCAGAGCCACTGGCCACCTTGATGGGGATGGGGTTGGAGATCTCCAGGCGCGCCTTGGAGTCCCGCTTGGACGCACGGTTGAGGTTGAAGAAGCCCCTCCGCATGCTCATCTCCTCCAGGCTCTTGAGCTCGGCCGCCGACATCCGCTCCTTCTTCTCCTTCTTTTCTTTCTTCTCCTTCCTGGCCCCATCCTTCTCTTTGTCTTTCTTCATCAGGTTGAACATGGTGCTGCTGCTTGTGGCACGGCCGCCTGCCTGTGGGACAACGCACAGACATGGTCAGACACCGCATGGAAAACACTGACCCTAACCTGCCACTGCCTAACGCTGCCACCCCATGCCCAGTGCGCCCCAAAACAAGCCCAGAGCTTCGGCATGACCCCATGCACCTGAGGAAGATTTACCCAAATCTGGCCACGTTCACAGTGGGGACAGTGGGGAAGAAGGCCCCAGCACACAGCCCTGACTGAGCACTCTCTAACAACCAAGAACCTGTAAAATTGCATCGCTCTGAAGCACTGAAAAATGCCCAGTTTTAGCAGGGCGCTGCACATTCCGTGAAGTTGTTTGACCTCCAGGAACAGTCGCTCTTTCATTTGGGCATCTCATGCTGGGGGAGGGCCCCAACCCATGGCAAAACCATGCCATGGCCTCCCCCCATGCTCCCAGCACAGCCCCAGGGAAACCACAGGGTCCCCACCCTGCCACCCACCACCCACCGACCTCCCTCGTGCATCGGGGCCCTGGGTAAACAACCCCAGACCCAACCAGCCGGGTGGGAAAGCAGCGAGGGACGGGCTGACAGCTATATATAAACAGGGCAGGAAGCCACACCGCGCAGGAACTTAACCTCGGCACAAAGGACAACAGGAAAGCTCCCTGCATTGGAAGCGCCTGTGGTGGAGCTCTCAGAAGGCGTCAGGGCAGTGGTTAGTGCATCAGCAGCAGGACTACAGGCACACAGCGAGCACGTGTGCCACACCGTGCCATGCTGTGCTATATGATGCCAGAAGAGCTGTGGCTCAGCTCTACCAAAGCATCACCACCCCCTGGGCCACATCCCTGCAACAGAATGTGTCCCCTGTTGCACCCAGCAGGACACAGGGCACAAAGCCGTGAGCCCCACAGCCCCATACCAGCATCTGCAGTAACGGATCGTGCAGCAAAGCTCCTCTGCACTGAGGACCACGGGGATACAGTGACAGCTCTGAGGTCTCGGCGCTGGCAGAGGGACACCCATCTTGGGTCACCCTCGGTGTCCCCAAGCAGCATGGCTGGGCCGTGGCACCCCAGGCTCACCCAGGGCGGGCAGGGACTGCCGGGACAGTCACTTGGTGCCGCTGGGTGGCACAGCCGAAGGCAGGTGCCGCTAGGGCCCCAGGCTTCGCGCAGCTCTTTGTCCTCAGCCCTCCTCTCCCTGCTCACACGCTGCCTGCCGGCCTTTGTATGCTCAGCAGCGGAGGGAACGGGCGGTAGGAGCTGCATGGTTAATGAGCCGGCACCGCCGACCAGCTGCACCGCTGCGTGCACCCAACGCGACGCGAGGTCACCGCCTGCTCCTGAATCACCCAACGCCCCGACCCCGCTCCCGACGCACTCACCCAGCGCTCTGCCTGCCTCGGCCCGAGCTCGCTCCGGGATTATCTGGGTGTGTTCGGGTGGCAGCGTGCGTGAGCTGTGACACGGGTGGGAGAGGCGGCCGCCAGCGCCAGCTTCACCCATGCACTGCATGCGAGCTCCTTGCTGTGACGTCCCCTGCGTGCTGACCCCAACGCGAGGTGACCCCCCCCGGCCCCTGAGGGTCTCTTCCCCCCTATGAGCCCTACAGGTGCCCGGCACAGAGGGAAGCACTCACTGGAACTCGGGGCCACTCCCCTCCACGCAATCTCGCCCGACGCGCTCCGACGCAGGGACCTGCAGCACCAGTTTGCTGCCTGCCCTGTGGTGCCGGCGGTGGGAGCCCACGGCTGGCAGCCCTTTGGGGTCCCCGTGCTCCACTCATGCTCAATATGGGGACAGCAATGGAGACCCGTGACACGGTTCCCAGCTTCCTTGCTGGATGCCAGCACAAAATTTCCGCACTCCAAGGAGATTTAGGGGTTTTCCAACCTCTCCACGCTGCCTTGTGGACACCATTGGGATGCATGAGGAGGACAGCGTGCTGCCACCCTTTGTCTGAAGTGAGATTTTGGGGCTTCCCATGCAGGAAGACAGAGACAGGGGGTCACGGCTAGATGGCAAACGCAGCCCTGTGCCCAAGAGCTCCAATGCATCAGCACAGGGTGCGTGCACCTGGCAACAAAGCAGGGCAACCACACAACCTGGGCATTACAAAACCCTACTGCCCAGTGCTGTGGGAAGGAGGGTCCAGGCTCAGGGACACAGCACGCAACGGGTCACCAGCAGCACGTGCCATCGCATGGTTTGTGCCCTCACTCTGCAGCACGGCCCTGCTTTGCTATGTGGCTCCCAGCTGCAGCGTGCCCCCCGGCAGGGCCCAGCCCACAGCACAGCGCTCAGCTGCTGCTCGTCACCGAGCAAAGTCCAGCGCCGGCACAGCAATTACACCTGGCTCAGCCCAGGGCAGGGGGTGCGTCCATCCCCCACCACCGAGGTACCCCCTGGGCACGGGAACCGGGGCCATGCCGCGAGCCCACGTTTTTCAGTGCTTGCCCTAAGCGAAGCCGAGGTGCTGGGTGACCAAACGATTTGCATCTCAAGGTTCGCCGGCTGCAAACCGCACTATTTCTGGACACGCGTCCTGTCAGCCCTCGCCTGCTCCATATATATTGGTCCCCAGGCGAAATAACACCAGGACAAACCCCGCAGCAGTCACAGCCCCGCCAGCCCCATCCTCATCCCAAAGCCGCCCCTCGGGCACCCCGCAGCCCCCCCGCCGCTGCTGGTTCGGGGAGAGACGGGCGAACAGCTTTAGTGTCATTCCCTAATGGTGCGGCGGGGGAGGGGGTTGGTGGCAGGCCAGAAAGGTGTGCAGGGAAGCACCTACGCATGGGGCACCCCCTGGGGACACAGCAGCCCCCCCCCAGTGGGGTCGCACTCCGGAGGGGTTTGGGGTGCGGAGCCCCAGCGGGGAGGGGGAGAGACGCAGCAACGCGGGCACCGCAGCACAACAGCGGCATTCGCAGCGCGGGGGGAGGAAACGCGCACGCGGGGACGCGCGCACACGCGCACAGCGTTGCGGCCCGGCCCGCGCGGGGGGTGCAGGCGCGGCGGCCCCGCCCCGGTGCCGGTGCCGGTGGAGGAGGCGGCGCGGTGCGGAGCGGTGCGGCGGGCACTCACCCGGCGGTGGCGGCGGAGCGGGGCCCGGCGGTGG